AAATATGCTTTGTTTTGTTGCTCTGGAGAATGGCCCGTTTTATTATTTCAATGAGTTGAGTGTTGCGTCTGCGTTTACTGTCCTTTTTCGGTTCTCTTTTTGAACTTGCGCTACTAAAGTATGCGTTGCGTGATATTGACGCCAGGAGTCACGTGTTGAGCGTATGCACTGCTGACCTCTTGCCAAGGCTGGTTGCGCGACGTAATGCCAAGTCGCATCTTCCTGCGTGCTTCGAACTTTGGCCGTGTTGGCACAATGCTTCCCGAACACACACACCCGCTCTTTGGCAGAACGTTGACTCTTCCGCGTCGTCTTAAGACTTCGCGTGCTCAGGAAAATGTGCATACGCAAAAAGAAAGGAAGCACAATGCTCTCGCGTCAGAAAGGAGACCAACGGCTGCTGGATGGTCGGCGATCGCACATCGGCTCCTCGTGGAGTGTGTGTTTAGCGGACAGAGAAAAGCAAAAACCAAAAAGCAGGCAGCGAATGAGTAGGCGTCTTCGCGCGGACACGTCGACACCGATGTCACGTGCCCGTTGGCACGCATGCCGTCTCGCCCTCGCGCAACATAAAATGGTGTCCATTGTTGGGGCTCAGCGCATACTTCCGGTACTTTATTGCTCGCTCTCATTCTCCAAAGGGAAGAAGAAAAAAATGTGGGTACGCTATTGTTTGTACTCTATACTATATAGAGTAGCCCGCTGTCTTTCCGAAGAGGGAAGACGCGTGATGTGTGTTCCTATCGGGTGCTTTTATTATTTTTGGCTTGCGTTTCGAGTACCACCAGCTGTCAGCGAGACGGGCGCCTGCCTTTGAACGCGCGTGCAACAATATTTCATAGCGTATATACGCAACGAGAATGTACAGAAAGCGTGACCATTGAACGATTTGATCCCGCGCGCGAACAATGGAGGATTACATACATGAATACAACCCTTCGTACGTAGTCACTTTCGAAAGACTAGAGACTGCCGAATCTTCGAAAACTTCAGGCTATCCAGTAGTTAGTAGCCGTGTTTGGTGGAGCTGCACAGTACATGTGGTGAGTGCGGTTTAAAATAGGCCGGAAATCAATTGGATGGCCCAAGCAGCGGGGATGTTAAAGTTTTACTCGTCTCGTGATCCAGCTTTCGACATTAGTAGTATGTACGGTGTGTTTCACTCTTCGTAAAACGCGGAGCGTGTAAGCGCCGTAGAAAGGCCGTGGCAAGAGCTCGCGCCTGCGCTCCAGAATGATGTTCAACCGCGTCTTCTGCTAGTGCGGCGCGTGCTGACCGCTTTTTCTGAAAGCTTGCTACTCTCATGGGCAGTGTGCGCATGTTAGAACTGAGTGTTTTATAACGCGAACCTCTCTGCCTTCACTGGTTATATGGGGGTTCTAGAACCTTTTTCGGACAACATGCATCACTTCTGAAGGACAAAGTAATGAGGGCGTATGCGTATATTTCTTAAGTGCAGGTGTTACCCTAATACACAGCGCCGAGAAAGAGGCACCAAAATGTGCTCATAACGTGTTCGGTCACAGGGCACTGTCGCAAAATGTAACATGCTTCCAGACAACACGGCCAGCGCCCGTCACCTTAGCAGACGACGCAGCTAGCTGCTGTCGGCGCACTACAACATCGCTCGCAGCACTGTGAAGCCACGCGCTCCCAGATTTTGTGCGCGCGCGCGCGCACACACACACACGCACACGCACACACACGCACACACGCACACACGCACACGCACACAGACAGACAGACAGACACAGAGAGAGACAGACAGAGAGACACACAGAGAGAGAGAGAGAGAGACAGACAGACATACAGAGAGAGAGAGAGAGAGAGACAGACACACAGAGAGAGAGAGAGAGAGAGAGAGAGATATGCAAGGAAAGGCACACAAAAGCATGATATACTATAGAGGGACCGTGGCGTTAGGCGTTACTGTGTCTGCGGGAGCTGCAACGCAACGCATTGCGCTTTAGCAAGATTGAGGATGATGAATAGTGCATGAATTGGTCTAATCTTCGTTCTTTCCGCTCCGTTTGGGTTCGCGTGGGCAGGAGCCGCTTCGTCATGAGACAACAATCGGCGAATTTGTAGTGGTTCCAGTTCAACAAATTAACCTTTTAGGCTTACTAATTCAAATCGCCTTATAGAGTTCACAAAGGTTCATTTTTTTATCCCAAACAATACTAAAACACGGCAGTAAACAAAGCCTCAAGTGCGTCCGATGTGTGTGTGTGTGTGTGTGCGTGCGTGTGTGTATGTATGTATAAAACAGTATACAGCGGAGCTGTTGCAGGAACTCGCGTTGATTGTGTTGGTACGTTCTTTTACTGGGAACGATACGTCATCCCGAAATATTGGTCATGTCTGCGGGACCGGCTACTACGCTGCATCGCGCTTGTTTTTGCCTGAACGTAGCGAACTAATCGGCAAGGCCGGAACTTAGGGCTAAACCTCATAAGCGCGAAAATGCACGCGACAGCGACGAGCGACACTATGAGCGACGAAACAGGGCGTTCGCGCGACGTGTCGCGTGCTCGTTTTCGCGCGATCGCTCGGTTCTCCAGATTTGGAAACCGTCGCTCATCGCCCGGAAGTGCTGGGTTCAAGCAGCCAATAGCGAAAAACCGGAAAAGACAAAGACTACATAGGTGCACGCGACCCTGCCCCAATCACGTATGCGCAACAAAAAATAACGCAATGTTTATTACGCATGTGCATATAAAAAAGTGCTGCAAGGCATTAATAAACACTTTCCGTTTCATTACACAACAATTATCTTATTTTTAAATTGCATACCGCTCGCTACGCAGATTTCTTGGTGCGAGTTGACGGCCTCATGCCAGCAACAGTGGAATTCGCTCGCCGAAGCCGTCGCGTGAATGAGGTTTGCTTGCGCTAGCGACTGATCGCGCGAAGCCGATCTACGTCGCGTCGCTTGTCGCTGTCGGGTGCATTTTCGCGCTTATGAGGTTTGGCCTTTAAGCTTTAAGTTATGGGCGTCCTTTATGGGCGTCAACGCAAGACCGATATCGCGAGTGCCGCGACACGTCACACGTGTACGATTTCTTCGTTTAAAAGGACGCTAGGTATATCTGGAAGTGTTACGGGAAGTGCAGAAAAGAGCGTCGAAGCCAACGCTGTGGCACCGTGGCAGCAGTGTGCTGATGAAATACTAAACGATATGTTGCACCAATCAAACGTACCGTGCTCATAGAAAAGAGTACGCCAGGGGCTACACTGACTCGCAAATTAAGCGATGTTATGAATGACTAGGACTTACGAAGTGGGTATAACTGCGATGTTCGTATGGTAACACATAGAGGTAATACCGTATGCGGGGTCAGTGCAGCTGTCATATGTAAAAGCTCTGCGCTAACTATGAAATTAAATGACCTAAAGACAATCAGTTGTAGTAGATAACAAAGAATCATAGAGAAGCTCGACTTCGGAAATCTTTATGATACGTGCGAAGACATACGTACGGGAGGCAATATACTTATTCGAGACTAAACGTCATATAAAGTCTATAGTTTCAACGCGGGATGTTAGATTTCGTCATAAATGCAGAGCTTGGATAACCAACATGTTTGCTGATGTAGTTATTTGATTGATATGTGGGGTTTAACGTCCCAAAACCACCATATGATTATGAGAGACGCCGTAGTGGAGTTCTCCGGAAATTTTGACCACATGGGGTTCTTTAACGTGCGCCCGAATCTGGACGCACGCGCCTATGACATTTCCGCCCCCACCGGAAATGCAGCCGCCGCAGCCAAGATTCGATCCCGCGACCTGCGAGTCAACAGCCGAGTACCTCAGCCACTAGACCACCGCGGCGGGGCGATGTAGTTATTTGTATGGTATATACGCGATGCCGGTGTTGATTTCGCAGGCACTACAGCCGTATCGTATGCAGATTCTTCAACTGACACGTCTATTTACCTAATGCTGTTTTCGTGGTGATCGAGTACGTGTCCCCTTCGGTGTTTGCTCGAATCCTATGTAAACGTAACGTGCCCGAGGTGCACGTATTCGTTTCTCCGCTTGCACGCGAATGCGCTTATATAAACTATACGCGATCGGATAACCGTTGTATACCTCGTCTGCGTGCCCCGAGTTTGCACCGTGTCGACGTGCGTCGACTGGCTGCTTCGTTTTTTTTTTTTTTGCTTTTTAAATTTTCAGCGTCCGGTCTTCTGCTGTTGCCAGCAGTGAAACAGCGCGCGTTCTTCTGCAACCGCAGCTGTTTTTGTTTCCGCTTGAGTTGATCGGCTTCAAATACGCGCGAAACGTTTTTTTTTACTGCGCTGGTTCGTGAACACGAAAATTTCCAGCAAGCGTCGACACGTGCGGCCGCCCCTTCTGCGACTGGCTGGAGAATTTGTGGCGGACGTTGTGAGGCATTCCACCAGTGTTTAGTTTTGTTGCGTTTAACGAATTAATGTGTCGACTGAAGCTATGAGTGGGTATACCTTCACACAAGTCAGCGACGTTTTCTTCTCAAAAGCGGATGCGCCACTGCGTGGGGTACGCACTCTGTATGCTGAGTGCGTGTTCTATTGCGTCCTAGACTACGCGGTTGTCCCCGATGGCATGGCGAACCCTCAACGGCGGCGGCAACGCCACGAAGTCGTGCATGTGCCCAGACAACGCTCCGACAACCTGAGGTTGTCCTGAGGATGACCTACACCGTACGAAAGTATGACCTGAGGAAGCCCTCAAATGAACCTCAAGTGGTCCTAAACCAGTCCGTTTGTCCGGCCTCAGATCGTCCTCAGGGCATCCAGAAAAGAGCACATTATGATGAGTCTAGTACTTTTTGAGGACGAAGCATACAAGACCTAGGCACTCATCAGACCTTACGAAAAGTTGCTCTAATTCTTCTTTTGGAGCGCTGAAATGACAACTGATCAATCAAAAGTGCCTGAACATGCACACTCTTTAAAGCACTGCCTGTGAGGTTTCAGTAACAATTTCTTCAAGTATAGCAATAAAAACAGCAATGCACAGAAAACATGTTTATTTTCAGGAATGAAACTTGGCAGTTTTCACTAGATGAGACTTCTTGCCCTGTGCCTTCAGAGGTCTTCATCCGATGGGCTTGACAACGCGACACTTTGAAGACATTCTGTAGTAATAGAAAGCAGCATATCTTGAAGCACAAGTGAATTTAGAGTATCAATAAGAATATTAAGACAATAACAGCATGCCAGATTTGAAAGCATAAAATGAAAATTATATTACCATAATGTGCAGGTACGAACTAGCCATTATATAATGGTGAAAATGATTTATATAGTTCATGCTTGCATACACATCAAAATTCGAGTAAGGCAAGAAAATTATTTAAACTATAACAGCAAAAGTATCATATGTTATGATAGCTTCAACAGCACAGATAATAAAACTCACCCTCATGGTGAGTGCGAGAAGTTCTTAAGCGCTGCTTCTGGAGCTTTTCCCCAGCATGCCGAAGCCACACTTTAATCACACACTCGATGTCATTTTTTTTGTTTCCGGAAAATTTCGCCTCACGGCCTCTGAAAAAGTACAAAGTTCATAAAACAGGAATTACACAAACATAATACATTAATATAATGCTACATAGGTTGTTTGAAGAAGTACCTCTAGTCAGCATGATCGACATTTTGATAGGTGGGCACATCATCATTAAAGGTCCTTGCCATCCTTCCCCATGTTAATTTCAAGAGTACTGACATTGACACTATGTGTTGCATTACAAGAAGAACACCACGAAGAAGACATCATTGTAACTTTTTTGAAACCTAGCATGCAAAGAATGATGAGGCGCCTTTGACGAAAATACGTCCATGTATGAAAATGTTGGCCAGCTTGTCTTAGGTACTTATTCCTGTTTAGAGATCCTCAGTGATCACTATGAGCTTCCATCTGTTAGTTTTCATCTGTACATAAGATTTCCACTACAGTTAAGAATGCCTAGTAGTGCTACCTGATAATAACTTCTGCAAGTAGTGAATGCTTGCGTATGTGTGCCATGCAAGTATACTAGTGTGCTTGAAGAAGCTGCAGGGTTTCTTACTGACAACAGATATTTCATGCTAAAAATTTTCCACGTTTAAGCACATAATTTTAATTAGCAAGCATCCTAAAAAATTTAATGCTTTCATGAAAAGATTGTTCTTTTGCTATTGACTTCAAATGAAAGATAATGTGGATAACAGACTTAGAATGTCTGTACTCAAACACGGCTCTTGCAGCACATGGTGTTGTGAAACAAATTACTCACTGCAAATGACATCTGTGACACCTAGATCCACAAACTTCCTTTTGCCTTTTTGGCCTGCCCAGCTGAACTGCACAGCAACCTCAAGGCTTAGCAGAAGCTCCAGCATCCTCCTGGCTGCTGCCCCAAAAGTTGAGCCACCAAGGCCAGCAAGCTGCTGTATCTGTACAGTTTTGAGGTCATTATTTTTTTTAGAAGAGTAGCTTAATCCCGGATAAAAATGTCCGGATAAAAAACTTGAGCATGTTTCCGGCATACTCTATCTCACTTGCAGGTGCAGCTGGTGTGGAAAGAACAGAGATCCCCACATGTAAAGCTAAGAAGTTCTTGTACATGTGTGCAGGAATCAGTGATGACAAAACAACGGGTCCTCCATATAAAAGAAAAAAGCGAAACTCAGTCGCTTTCCACCGATCAAGTTCAGCAATGCTCCTCGGCTTTCGGCTAAAATCACATGGAACACACCGTGCAATTTGAGAATTTTTTTCCGACATCTCAAGACGCACTTTGCTTCCAAGTCTGGTCACTTTTGGGCCACGTACCCACAGTGTCAAGAGCTTGTTCATGACACCCAAGCACACAAGGTGCATGTAATCTAATGGTATATCTTTCACTAGGTCAAAGGAAGTTCCTCAAGAATACTTTCGCCTGTGTGATGCTCCTCCTGGACTTTTAAGCGAAAGCTGTCATCTGTTCGCTTGCGAGCATTGACGTTTGGGAAGCACACCCTGCCCTCACAGTAGACACCTTTTACGTCACATTTGGTGCAGCTGTAATAGCCTGTGTGGCTTCTGACATATAATACAAATGCCTTTGCTGGTGCATCACATATGAGGGCATACAAGCTAACAGGAATTGCAGTTTCTCCAATGGTAATCCCTGTTGTGATAGCAGCATTTATGTCACAAACAAATGGTCGCAAAAAATCATTCGCGTTGTTGGGCTTGCTGCTTCCGAAAAAAACACCCACTATAAATGGTGCTTTGTCCTCCAAATTACTTATGCGTCCCAGTATGCACCAAAATTGGCCCCGTGAACTTTTTGAAACCGGCAGACCGTCAATGTTGAAGCTAAGCTTCAAAATTCTTGGTAGTTCTGCACAATCTTGCAGCACTCGCTGTAGGCCTGCACTGAGGCCGAAATGATGGTATTTCCCGCCGGCCAGCTGCAACACTTCCAGGCACTTCTTGGGCGTCTGTAACAATGCCCTTGCAGTTGAAGGGAGCGCGCTGAAGCATTCGTGGGACTGTAGTACTCTCAAGAGCGATGTAACTGAAGTGTGCGATGCGCGAGATTGTAAGGCCCACGCTTGCAGTCTCTCACGAAAGGCCAGCAAGCTGTCCACACTGCCGCGTTCACAAACTTGCTCTTCGTTACTCCCAGTCGGTGCCAATTCGAAAGAATCCCTCTGCCTCACCTGCGAGGTCGCCGAAGTCGAAGCCGCAGCGCTGCTGTCATGGAAGGCACGCCGTTCGAAGTCTGTGTGATCGTGAGGCACAGAAACACTGCAGCCGCTGGGGTAGCACGCGTCGCCAGAAATCAAAACGTGTCCTTGGGGCACATCCGTTTCTGGAACGATCGAGGAGTGTGCCGAAGGCCGTTCTCTGTCATGAACACAAAGGCGACGATGGCCGTCTTCGAGGTCGACCGCACAAGCCTCGGAGGGCAAGTCGCTCTCTCTTTCGGCGTTGCGGGAATCTCGGTCAACGTACCGCGTGTCATTTATGACATCGGCCTCACTGTCAATAAGCTGAAAACTAGCATTGACGCGCCGATTAATTTCACGCCGAAATTTGCGATCCGCGCTCTCAGCCATCTTGAACAGCACAGAGCACAGTAGAATGGTGGCTAGACCAAAGAACACCCACCACCAGAACACGTTGTTAGGCTAGTCAGTTGGTTTGTACATACATACATGAATAAGCAGTAAAGATATACAGCGCGAGGCTGAAAATCAACTGTCCTCTCTTTTTTTATTTATTTACCTTTGCGGCTTACAACTTCAATATGAAAATTTAACAGAAGACACTCACCTGGCATGCTTACGATTCTTTGAGGGCTTCTGCGAGAAGCTTCCTCTATGGCGAGAAGTGTTGTATTGGAATGTTGACTCGACCAATGACTCGACCAATGACTCGACTTGACTTACTGCAGGCCCATAATGATGATGATGATAGTTGCGTCACTTTAAAATGGGTAAACAGTGTCGTAGACATCCAGATTTAAAAGCACCTTGACTGCGCATGGTGACCGCATTAAGGTACTGCTTTTTTTTTGTTAGCACCACCACAACTTCAGTCGCCCATTCGTTTTCCCACAGCGTTCTAGTTCCAATGCTGCTCTATTCACGATAACCTAGGCCAGCCCAGTCGTCAGCATGGTCAGTTGTCGTCTGCTCGATGGGACCGTGCGGCATTGCAACACTGGACACTCGAGAATAACGTGCTCGCTATTCACAGTTTTCACGCCTGCATTCATTTTGGAGCCGACACCGTTTATACTCGCACCAAACTTGGTCTGCCGCACGTGCGTTCATTGGGGAAACGGGTCAGACCACAGTCAGTGCGATATAATTCCGTATGCACGTCGGCGGTAGATCACGACCAACGAAAACGTGCAGGCAGAAAGTTTGGCCTACGATCACTTACAAAGTAAATAAATAAATAATAAATAAAAGAACACGTCTTTCTCGTGTTGGCTTGAAGTGCTTCCTCGTGTAACTATCTCATTTTAATGATCGAGAAGTACTTTACTATTATGACTCGAAAGTAGGCATACGAAATCCCGTGGACTTATTCGTTAACAGCCAGAAAATTAACCAAACACGAATTGCGAAAGCTGCATGCACCTACGAAACATGCATATCCTCAAAACGTCCTCGAGCAGACGATATCAGGACAATTCTTCGTCCTTAAAAAGGTCTCAAAGGGGCATTTTGGGGATAATCCTGCAAGTGTCGACTAGAGGACCAAATGAGGACGTCCTGAAACTGCCGAGGACGTTTGTACCATATGAGGACGACCTCAGGTCGTCGAGTGTTGTCTGGGTGGTGTCCGCTAAGCCTTTCTATGCGTATTTTGTTTCCCTTCTGCGTTCTGTCTTAAACATCTGGATAATTTTTTTTCAGAGGAGGTATTTTTACCAAGCGCGTTTATTGTTTGATTTTGAAGTATTTGTGTTCACAAACGCTGTTATCAATACTCGGCGCCAACCGTGCTGCAATGTTTGGGAAGCTTCGCGATTGTTTGAACAACGCGAATAGTTAAGTTCATGCGAGCGCCAGCGATAAGGCTGGTTGTTGCTGCCGCATGTATGATAAGGCCGCACCCCACTGCAGATCAGTTTTGTCGACGACCGATGCTTTTTTCGCCGCTATAGTGCCCATTGTGTGCAGTGCTTGCTTCCTGACAATTATTTTTGATAGTTAGGCCTAATGTTGTCACAACTTTTGCCACGAGGAAAAATTACGTAAAAATTCACGACTGAGAAACAGAATGTCTCGTAAGCACACCTGCTGAATGAAGCAGAAAAAGAATTTAACAAAATGAAATTTTATTAAAAGTGTGCATTAAATTTCTATGCAGCGGCACATTTCGGCCTTCACTGTGCGCACGATGAGCACGAACTGTAAAGCGGAAAATGCGGTCTTTCGCCCTGGACGACTAGTGCAGTCTTTATCCGCTGGGTCAGATTCGGTTGACGCTACTCAAGGACGTGTCGGCGCTGTGAAGACCGCTGTTGGTTAAAGAATCAAACCCCTTAGTAACCTGTTTGCGAATGTTTACTAATTCACATTCGTAAAGACCATTTCCCGTTGATCAGAATAGAAGGTTGCGTGTTCGATTCCCTACCGCCTATAACAATAATATACGGGGTTTTACTTGCTGAAATCATGTTGTGATTATGAGGGATGCCGCAGCTTAAGGCTCGGGAAACTTCGATTATCTGGTGATCTTCGAAGTGCACTGACGTGGCACAGTACTTGAGCCCCTAGCATTTCGCTTCCATCGAAATGCGAGCGCCGTGGCAGGGATCGAACCTGCGACCTCCGGGTCAGCTGCCGAGCACCGTAACCGCTATACACCAGCGCGGGGGACTCGCTGCCGCGATTAGCTGCGATGAACGGGTGGTGGACGCTCAAACTCGCGTAGGCATGCAGTTTTGCGTGCAATCCGAAGCAGCGCGCGCATGCATATTAAAGTTGAACGCAAATTCTGCTTAGAGTATCAATTTGCCGTCATAACTTCACCGGAGGAAGAGAAAAATAAAGGCACCTAGTGGTCATGGGGCTCGACCGCTTATTCGGAGGTCGTGGAACCGAATCCTGGCTGCGGCAGCCGCATTTTGGTGGAGGCAAAACTGCCAAATTCCAGTGAATACTTTAGAGCTGGGTGCACGTTGAAGAAACCTCAGGGGGTAGAAATTCCTGCAGCCTTCCAGAGTGCGACATCCCTGAAAATCAAATCCTCCCTCTGTATAAACTAAATGACAACAAAATGAGTAAGCATTAAGGACCAATTTATCTCTCTTATGTGTATATATATATATATATATATATATATATATATATATATATATATATATACTTGCGCAGGCTTTCCCCACACACACACTCCTGACAGCACTAATCGTGTCATAGTTTTGGCACATAAAACCTCAAAATACTGTTAGTGAAAATATGGGTAAACGCTGCGTTATTGAATAATGTGTCGAAACCTAGGTATGTTATTTTTTATTATTTTGGGCTTAATGGCTCAACAAATTTACTTGAATGAAGCCATAGCACTGATAAAGCAGGGACAACAGAAACAGTGCAGGACTCTCACTAGATGTACTTCTTCTGAGGTCCGTCTAATCAGCGCTATAACTTTATTGAATGCGGCAAACAACTGGCCTAACAGTCTATTCTCTTGGAATTTACTGAACTTGATGTGTTCAGTCTCTTTTTCCCCATACAGCAGAAGATAACCACGTTTTGCCCACAAGAAAACTTTGTAGGCTCCAGATGCTGTTAAAATCCGTGATGTCACTCCAAGTTAGTGCGAAAATCCCAAGGCTGCATTGCCACCTATATTTTATTTTTGTGAGTTTTACGCCTTCACCCACGTCTTCTGACTGGAAAAGTGGTGCGTTCAGTTGTATTAAAGGGTCATCTACTAATAGGAGCCAAAATCGTTCCTTTCTGATTAGGGTCCCTTCAAAACACTCTTCTTAGTTTGAAATACGTGTGCTCAATAAACCTGCAGCTTGTCTTCCCTGCGCTTGACCCCCATTTTGGTTTAGTAGTCGTTTGAAATCTTTGTAAAGGGATATGTGCGTTTGCGGAAGAAGGTTATTGAGGTAATTAAAGATCCGTCGTATATCTCGCGTTTTCAAACTCACCGTCATGCTCGCTGAGCGCATGGTGGTGGGTTCGCTTCTTCTCCGTGCTTGTCCTCTTCAGGTGGCTGCAGTATATGCTGTAAAAGACGCTCTCGTACCCATAGATCAATCTTCCTCTTACCTTCATTAATCACATTCTCAATCTTTACTGATTAGAATTAATCTAGTGGTTCCCAACAACGAAGAACATGCAGCCAATCGTCCTCATTATTTCGTCGAGCACAGCTTTATGTCATCATTAATTCGCCATATTTTCATGTCTATAAGTGTACTTTCTCCTTCCAGTGTGTACATTGTCATAGTGCATTCACTCATATCTGTTCTTGTGTGTTAGCCCCATCATGTAGTTCGGTCCACGATTGCCATTAGACATTTCTGTAGCTTCATTTTTTTTTTTCCACTTCGGTCACAGAACGAAATAGCATTTCTCACCGTACCAGTGCTGTTGCCGGGAGCTGTATAATAATATAAATGCGTGTCGCTGCTCAGTTTTCTCCTTCTGACGTTTGGATGAAGAGTTACGCCTAGACATGTTTCATTTCCTGAAAACTTGCCTCCTTCGAGTGCGCTTCTTGCAGCTACCAATCCGAATAAGAATATTAAAACCATCACTTATTTTGTATGCCTATCAGGCGTTGCGCGAAGTACAATGAGCCCTCGATATTGGTACTTGGCGTTCGTGCGGTGTAAAGAAGGTAGAACGAGTGCTTTGCACTCCATCTTGACATGAGCCATTGGCCCTGGAGGCACCACAGCCCGGCAAGAATCTGGGTGGCTGCGAGTTTTGCAGCAAGTGAAACTAGTGAAAGAGCTGGTCTCTGGTGACTGATAGTGGTAGCCTTTTCGGAACATCATGCCGGAGAAAAGGTGAAAACAAGAATTGCCTGCTACTGGTCATGAAAGAGCCAATTTTATGCCTCCTGAAAGAAAAACATATTTTTTTGTGTGCCCGAGACGTTTTTAGGGAAAAAATTGTAGTATATCTATGACGCAAATAATGAGTGGGGCGATGTGTACGCACGTTCGTTTTGTGTGTCCGTCCATGCCCCCTGTCTGTTCGGGCAGAAACATGTACGGACGCGCCAATGAACGTAAACACAGATGGGCCGAGACGTCGCACCACCCTGTACGGTCCGAAGTACCGTCGCAGAAGCTTTTCACTTAGTCCACGTCGGCGTATCGGCGTCCACACCCAAACACGTTCACCGGGCTGGTATTCCACGAAGCGTCGTCGAAGGTTGTAACGGTGGCTGTCGGTCGTCTGTTGATTCTTGATACGGAGCCGCGCAAGTTGTCGGGCTTCTCGGCGCGATGAAGGTACTCGCTCACATCGAGGTTTTCTTCGTCGGTGACGTTGGGTAACATGGCATCGAGCGTCGTTGCCGGGATCCTTCCGTAGACCAATTTGTATGGAGATATCTGCGTCGTCTCCTGCACCGCCGTGTTGTATGCGAAGGTAACATACGGAAGAATGGCATCCCACGTCTTGTGTTCGACATCGACGTACATTGACAGCATGTGGGCGATTGTCTTGTTAAGCCGCTCGGTGAGGCCGTTGTCTGTGGGTGGTACGCTGTCGTCCGGCGGTGGTTTGTTTGGCTGTATGCCAAGATCGCTTGAGTTAAGTCGGCAGTGAATGCCGTTCCTCTGTCGGTGATAAGGACCGCCGGGCGCGTGACGTAGAACGATATTTTCGACGAAGAACTTAGCTACCTCGGATGCACTGCCTTTTGGCAGGGCTTTTGTCTCGGCGTAGCGGGTGAGGTAGTCGGTAGCTACCACGATCCACTTGTTTCCGAAAGCCGACTTCGGGCACGGCCCCAGTAGGTCCATACCATCTGCTGGAAAGGTCGGCAAGGTGGATCAATTGGCTGCAGAAGTCCCCGCTGCCTGTCGGCGGTGTCTTGCGTCGCTGACAGTCCCGCATGTCCTCACATAACGAGTGCGTCGGCTGTAGACGCGGCCAGTAGTACCTTTCCTTGTATCCTCGCGAGCGTGCGAGAAACACCGAGGTGCCCTGGCCGTCGGATCGTCGTGCAGGGCCTGCAGGAGTTCTGGTCGCAGAGCTGAAGGCACCAGCAAGGAGATACTTAGCCCGAAGCGGTGAAAAGTTTTTCTTTTTAGAAGACCGTTTCGTAGAAAAACGACGCAAGTGCGCGCTTGAATACCTTCGGGACTTCGACGGTCCTGCCTTCGAGGTATTCTATTAGGGCCTTAAGTTCCGGGTCGGGCCCGCTGTCGTTCAGCGAAGTCGTCGGTAGTTATCGTTCCCAAGAAGTAGTCGTCATCCGGTCGTCGGGTAGCGGTTGGTCGACAGGCGCACGAGAGAGACAGTCGGCGTCGGAGTGTTTTTTGCCGACTTGTAAATGACAGTAATGTCATATTCTTGAAGTCTCAGGCTCCATCGTGCGAGGCGACCTGAGGGTCCTTCAAAGTGGCTAGCCAACACAAGGCGTGGTGGTCGCTCACAACGTTGAAGGGCCTGCCGTAGAGGTATGGGCGAAATTTCGACGTAGCCCAGATTATGGCGAGGCACTCCTTTTCTGTTGTGGAATAATTTGCTTCTGCTTTGGATAGCGATCGGCTGGCGTAACTAATAACCCTTTCAAGTCCGTCAGCCCTCTGCACAAGGACGGCGCCAAGACCTACGCTGCTTGCGTCAGTATGTATTTCTGTCTCGGCGAATTCGTCGAAATGGGCAAGTAATGGAGGCGTCTGGAGGCGATGTTTAAGCTCCTGGAAAGCGTGTTCCTGTGGCGTTTCCCACTTGAACTCCACGTCGGCCTTGGTAAGGTTAGTGAGAGGATCGGCGATGCGGGCGAAGTTTTTCACGAACCGCCTATAATAGGCGCACAGGCCCAGAAATCGGCGCACGGCTTTTTTGTCAGTGGGCGGCGGGAATTCGGCGATGGCGGCTGTTTTCCGTGGATCAGGACGAACTCCAGACTTGCTGATAACGTGGCCCAGAAACAAGAGCTCCTCATACGCAAATCTGCACTTTTCTGGCTTCAGTGTGAGTCCGGAAGTCTTGATGGCTTGAAGTACAGCTTCAAGGCGCCGAAGATGCTCGTCGAAACTCGAGGAAAACACGACGACGTCGTCCAAGTACACAAGGCAAGTCTGCCACTTCAATCCTGCCAGTACTGTATCCATAACGCGTTGAAAAGTTACAGGCGCTGAGCAAAGGCCGAAGGGCATCACCTTAAACTCGAAGAGGCCGTCCGGTGTTATAAACGCCGTCTTTTCTCGGTCTCTTTCGTCGACTTCGATTTGCCAATAGCCAGTCTTGAGGTCCATTGACGAAAAGTACTTGGCGTTATGGAGCCGATCAAGTGCGTCGTCTATTCGTGGGAGAGGATACACGTCCTTTCGACGAGAGGTACTGGGATCGATACCCAGCACCTCCACCAAATGTCACGGGGTCGTGACGTGGCCGAAGACAGGAGACTTCTTGTTGGAATGTAACTGTTTATTTGGGCGAACCTGTGCCCGGTAAACAGAAAGTCCAATTACAGCAGCAGTCTCGCACAGATAGCAGTCTCAGACTGATAGCGGCGAACGGAGCGTCGGCCTTCGATCAACAACTGACAAGCGGCGAAGCGCGTCGGCATTTATACTCCCGCCGTCGAATGTTCTAGCGCTATCGCTGGCGGCGGCGTACGTTCCAGAACAATCTGTACCATTCGCACAGTGGGCGTGATCTTATCGAAATGATCTACTACAGTCCGGAACATTCTAGAAACGTGCAGGCGTGGTTTGCGCCGAGAATCGTGTGGTGTTTCGGAACGATAACAAAAACTTAGGAAATGGAACGTGGCAATACTGTTAGAGAAAATATGGGTAAACGCTGCGTTATTGAATTATGTGTCGAAACCTAGGTATGTTATTTTTTATTATTTTGGGCTTAATGGCTCAACAAAATTACCTGAATGAAGCCATAGCACTGATAAAGCAGGGACAACAGAAACAGTGCAGGACTCTCACTAGATGTACTTCTTCTGAGGTCCGTCTAATCAGCGCTATAACTTTATTGAATGTGGCAAACAACTGGCCTAACAGTCTATTCTCTTGGAATTTACTGAACTTGATGTGTTCAGTCTCTTTTTCCCCATACAGCAGAAAATAACCACGTTTTGCCCACAAGAAAACTTTGTAGGCTCCAGATGCTGTTAAAATCCGTGATGTCACTCCAAGTTAGTGCGAAAATCTCAAGGCTGCATTGCCACCTATTTTTTATTTTTGTGAATTTTACGCCTTCACCCACGTCTTCTGACTGGAAAAGTGGTGCGTTCAGTTGTATTAAAGGGTCATCTACTAATAGGAGCCAAAATCGTTCCTTTCTGATTAGGGTCCCTTCAAAACACTCTTCTTAGTTTGAAATACGTGTGCTCAATAAACCTGCAGCTTGTCTTCCCTGCGCTTGACCCCCATTTTGGTTTAGTAGTCGTTTGAAATCTTTGTAAAGGGATATGTGCGTTTGCGGAAGAAGGTTATTGAGGTAATTAAAGATCCGTCGTATATCTCGCGTTTTCAAACTCACCGTCATGCTCGCTGAGCGCATGGTGGTGGGTTCGCTTCTTCTCCGTGCTTGTCCTCTTCAGGTGGCTGCAGTATATGCTGTAAAAGACGCTCTCGTACCCATAGATCAATCTTCCTCTTACCTTCATTAATCACATTTCTCAATCTTTACTGATTAGAATTAATCTAGTGGTTCCCAACAACGAAGAACATGCAGCCAATTGTCCTCATTATTTCGTCGAGCACAGCTTTATGTCATCATTAATTTGCCATATTTTCATGTCTATAACTGTACTTTCTCTTTCCAGTGTGTACATTGTCATAGTGCATTCACTCATATCTGTTCTTGTGTGTTAGCCCCATCATGTAGTTCGGTCCACGATTGCCATTAGACATTTCTGTAGCTTCATTTTTTTTTTTTCCACTTCGGTCACAGAACGAAATAGCATTTCTCACCGTACCAGTGCTGTTGCGGGGAGCTGTATAATAATATAAATGCGTGTCGCTGCTCAGTTTTCTGCTTCTGACGTTTGGATGATGTTACGCCTAGACATGTTTTCATTTCCTGAAAACTTTGCCTCCTTCGAGTGCGCTTCTTTGCAGCTACGAGATCCGAATCAGAATATTAAAACCATCACTTATTTTGTATTCCTATCAGGCGTTGCGCGAAGTACAATGAGCCCTCGATATTGGGTACTTGGCGTTCGTGCGGTGTAAAGAAGGTAGAACGAGTGCTTTGCACTCCATCTTGACATGAGCCATTGCCCTGGAGGCACCACAGCCCGGGCAAGAATCTGGGTGGCTGCGAGTTTTGCAGCAAGTGAAAACTAGTGAAAGAGCTGGTCTCTGGGTGACTGATAGTGGTAGCCTTTGTCGGAACATCATGCCGGAGAAAAGGTGAAAACAAGAATTGCCTGCTACGTGGTCATGAAAGAGCCAATTTTATGCCTCCTGAAAGAAAAACATATTTTTTTTGTGTGCCCAAGACGTTTTTAGGGAAAAAATTCTAGTATATCTATGAAGCAAATAATGAGTGGGGCGATGTGTACGCACGTTCGTTTTGTGTGTCCGTCCATGCCCCCTGTCTGTTCGGGCAGAAACACGTACGGACGCGCCAATGAACGTAAACACAGATGGACAGACGGAAGCATGGACGGACGAATGGATAGTATCACGGATGCACAGATGGAAGCATGGACGCTTCTCTCCACTCATCATCTATAACACAGTGGATATGCTGTGAAAACCGCTGATGCCATGTAATTATATTATTCCCAAGAACATATACACACAATGCCTTCTATTTAGCAACTTTATTGCCAAGTTGCTATATATTACTACTACTACTACTACTACTACTACTACTACTACTACTGCTACTACTACTACTACTACTACTGCTACTACTACTAATACTACTACTACTTACAATCAGTTTTGCTCAAATGGCGGGAGTATTTTATACGAATTATGTAGCGTATGTTCGTGAACCCCCCCCAAGCAGAGGCGTAAACTGCAAAAAGACGAGGGCGCTCGCTTTGTCCGATTCCGTACACCCGCCCATCCCTCACCAGGAGGAATCCGCATGCTGTAGCATCCGTAATTAGCAACTGCCTTTCTTTTTGACATTTTATATAATGCTGGAATAAACCTAGCCCGAAATCTAAAATTTTGATCAAAATGACAGCATTCTATTCTTTTTTTTTGTATCTCACCCACCCAAGCTCTTACAAGCTTGCATTCTGTGGAATGTTTTCTACTGTTGCCTCTAGCGCAAAAGATACAATTTGTTGCTACAGCTCTCTTGAGGACACCAATTTTATATTTCTGCACTGTTCTGCGTGTTGGGAGCTTATGGACATTATAAAGGGAAGTGCGGCACCGAGTAAGAAACTTCCCTTTTTTTTGCGATCTGGTAGTTGCGTTCCATGAAATGGGGCACTCGTTTAACTGAAGTCTCTTCTCTTTGAACGCTATTGCAGCTGAGCAAAGGCTTCGTGGAACTTTCGAGCCTGCGTGATGCCCTGGCCACGGTGGGCTTCAAGCTTCCCCAGTGGAAAGTCCGTCAGATGATTGAGGACATGGAGAGGCGTCGAGGCGCCCTGGCCCAACCGGGCCGGCTGTCGATCGCCGAGTTTGAGCAGATCTATGCTGAACTGCGTGGGCAGGAGGTTTCGGCTGGTTTCAAGGCCATGCTGTCCAAAAAGGTGAGCAACCGTTGTTTCGGTATTTATTAAGAGGCATTGCGCATGAGCACGCCCTTGAAAACCATCTTGTAACAAAAGGAAATAAGACTGCATGCCATGCAGTGTGCTGTCAGCCATTCTGTGCCACGGCGCATTGTAAATATTGTCGCACACTCGCTTGTGGCTCTCTCGTTCACTCGTGATGCTCGTAACAATTCGGTGGAGAGTATTTTCAATTATGTTGAATGAACGCTGGGATTTCACCTAACCTTAATGCCCCCAGAATGTACCAAATGCTTTCTTCTTTCAGTGAGCACTTAGATGTAGCTATCATTTAGACCATGACCCTCACTTTTTTTTGCGAAGTTATTTGCTTCATGCTAAACTTAATCACCATCCAGTAACTAGCAGTTGGAGGTATCGTGCAGTAAAATAAATCATTCATGCTTGGAATATTGCGAGGTAATTTCAACATCTAAGCTGTGCTATGCTTATATTTGCAAAAATATGTCATTTAAGTCCGTGTGGACCGAAGTAACAAATGGTACTTTGTCTATAAATGCTTCTACTTGATCACGTAGGTTTTGATGCTGCCTGCAGTATGCATGAGTAGAGCTTTATGTCGTCAAAAGTATGAAACACCGCCCTTAATCTTTTTGGCCAGGACAATGTACAAACACTGGGAGGCATGTCTGAGGCCTCCAGTGAAGGCACCACACATTCTGTTCGGCACGAGGAACGGGCAGCCTTCTCCGACTGGATAAACCGGAACCTCAGTTCTGACCCCGACTTGGTGCACCTGCTTCCCATTCCAATGCCAGGTGAGGCCCTGTATGACCGCGTCAAGGACGGCATTCTGCTGTGCAAGATGATCAACCACTCCTGTCCGGAGACGATCGACGAGCGAGCCATCAACAAAAAGGGCTTGACCGTGTACACGAAGCACGAGAACCTCACGCTCGCTCTCAGCTCGGCTCAGTCCATCGGCTGCAGCATAGTAAACATTGACGCACACGACTTGGCGCGTGGCAAGCCTCACCTGGTGCTAGGCCTGCTCTGGCAGATCATCAAGATCGGCCTGTTCAACCAAATCACGCTGCAGCACTGTCCGGGTCTCGTGCAGCTCGTTCAGCCGGGAGAGGACATGGCGCACTTGCTCCACCTCGCACCCGAGGCAATTCTGCTTCGCTGGGTCAACTACCACCTCGAGCGGGCCGGCAGCAACCGCCGCCTGGCTAATTTTACTTCGGACGTGCGCGACTCCGAGATCTACACTATCCTTCTGCGCCAAATCGCTCCGGTTGGGTCGGGGGTTACGGCTGAGGCCATGCGCGAGCACGACCTCCTGCAACGTGCTGAGGTTATGCTGCAGCAGGCTGACAAGATCAACTGCCGCTCATTCCTGAGCCCGCAGGATGTGGTGGATGGCGTATACAAGCTGAACGTGGCCTTCGTGGCCAACCTCTTCAACAACCACCCGGCGCTCGACGTTCCTGAAGACGGTAATGCCTTGGAAGGTCTTGAGGGACTCGAAGAGACCCGCGAAGAGAAGACGTACCGCAACTGGATAAACTCGATGGGAGTCAACCCTTACGTCAACTGGCTGTACAGCGACCTCGCCGACGGACTCGTCATCTTCCAGTTGTTCGATGTGATCAGGCCAGGGCTGGTGAACTGGACGCGTGTGCACCGCAGTTTCAGCCGCCTCAAGGGTTTCATGGAACGTCTGGAGAACTGCAACTATGCTGTCGAGCTGGGCCGGAAGCAGGGCTTCTCACTGGTCGGTGTTGCTGGCCAGGATCTCTTCGAAGGAAATGCGACGCTCACGCTCGCTCTTGTCTGGCAGCTCATGCGTGCCTACACTCTCTCAGTGCTCACGCAGCTGGCCGACACTGGCCACCCCATCGTGGAGCAGGAGATCGTGCAGTGGACGAATGGAAAGGTTGGTCAGCATTTCTTGTGGGAGGGGCAACACGTGAATCGGTCTTTCACACAGTAGGTCATAATAGCTCTATTAATAGCATAATAGCTGTCTAAGCATTTTTTTACCTTTGTAGCATTTGGTTGTGCGATTCTAAATTCCGGTGTTGAAGACTTCATGGGTGATCGCGGTGCGAAAGGTTTAGCGTTGCGTAGGCGAGGGAAAATAGTTGAGCCGCATTAGCAAAACAATGAATGCAATTGAAGCATAGTGTAATGTTATACCTAGAAAGGCTAGTGTGTTCTCTTCTTAAACCATTTTGGTGCAAGTCCGGAAAATTCTGGCAGGAGGCAATGCGCAAACGAAACGGTTTTACTGCTGGCTGTCGCCTAAGCATGAAGTAAGCACTGAGAGCTTGGCACATATATGTGCTTAGCTTTCAACGCTTACTTGACAAGTGTATAAGCAGTCCACTCGTACCCAATGACTATTGAATGCAGAAATTTGGGCTAGGTGGTGGGTGCCGACTTGTGCATTTAAGCAAGAGATTTGCAACAGAGACACGTACCTTGCGCAGTAGAAGATTGGTTCAGCACATTTCACAGAGCAGTGCTGAAAAGACGGGATGAACGAGCAAGGATAACAATGCAAAGCACTTTGATACTCATGAAATCTTAATTTGATCAGAGCGTGCGTGGTCAAAATATAATTTAAGGACTACACTATGTCGACCACGAGACTAGATGTTGATTTTTAGACCTTAAAACTTTCTTAACAGTGAAGCTGTTAAAGCTTGGCAGGAAGACATCTGTTAATAAAAACCTCTGCTGAGCCATTGTAATAACAGCGACCACAGCTACGCGCCAGTTGTGCTAAAAATGTTCAAGATGATACTGCACCAAGGACCAGCCGTCGCCAAGCGGACGCCATAGCAGCGGCCACGGTTTTGTACACCAGTCTTTTTGTGCATTATTTTTATTTCTTGCGCTTTCATATATATAAGATACGTATACATATATAGTGAGCGATGCCGGCGCCTGTGGCAAAATCTAGCCTAGAGGGGGTCGGTATAACTGCTATTGCAATAAAAGAATCACTTGAGGGGAAGTTCGCACTAGCTTCTGTAATGCTGCTTTAACAGCGAAGCTGATTTGTCTTTTGGGCTTAACGTGGCCATTTGGGCTAATGCTAGGACTTGCCTTGGCAAATCAGTCGAATGAAGCACAGATAATGCAAGAGTGTGCAAATCTCAGCGGGAGAACTAACATGCAAAACTGGCTGCGGCACCCCTACCGAAGCGCATGCGCACACGGCTCGTTCAACTCGGTGCGGCGGGTATATTAGCTCTTAAAATGGGCAGCGGGTCTCAGTTTTTGTGGGCATGTTCTATTGTGTGTAAACGCTTTTTAAGTTACTTTTGCCGCCCTACACTACTGTCGTGTGGAAAAGCGTAAGTAATACTTAAAGGGTCTACTATAGTATTGGCTGTCAAGGGACACAGCACATTTTGTTCCTTAATTACTCCTGTGTTCCCGAAGCTGCATAATTATAAGTACACTGTTCTCGCTGGTCTTTAAAGATATTACTGGTAATCATTCAAAGCTGCGAATGACGTTTCTAAGGACCTGAGAAACGAACAAGATTCTACTTGAGTTTTCTTTTGTCGTCGCCCTCACTCACTTCCACATTAATAAACTCCGGAATTTCGAGGCCGCTAGGATGGGAGGCTCATTCTGGAGGCGTTGCAAATGCTAATTTGTACTTTGTCACTGCCGGCTTTGCGGGGTGGTTCAACACACTGCGTTTATTGAAAAGGTTGTTCTCACGTGTACAATGCATGAGTTAGCTGGTGTTGAATAGTTTGTACAGTCGTCGGCAAGCTTAACACGATTGCTCTATTGCATGACCCAGTCTAGTTTTGACTGATGCCTAGCTGTTGCCCGGTAATACCTCTGTATCGCTCGCATAGTATGTCGGCGTGACTGGTTAACATCTTGGCAACAGAATGTAAAGCTTTGCAGCACTAGCATCAAACTGTTTTAGGACACACAGTGGAGCGTTTGCATCAAGCTTGCTGACTCTACATCTTTTTTTATTTTCTAAAAGTAAGCTTTTTTGTTATACTGCTTTAAATCTGTATCTAGAGCTAGAAAATTTGCTTTCATTTTTATCTTGCCCATCTTAAATTTGTTTTTGTGCTCCAAAAGCTTCATTTTTCTAAAACAGTTCCACATCCTGTAGGTGCACCCCTGCAATCACAATTTTTTGAACATTATCGATTTGCTACACAGAGCTCTTTGTGCTTCTATACTGAGGTGGTTGATTCGTCTTACTTTTTGTAATAAGTAAAGCCCCCTAGACATGCTGACCATCACACGGGCCTAAATTCTGTGCATTCCACAGCACTAGAAATGAAATTTATAAAAGTGTCCACTAATGGGGCTATTTTTTTATCTTTGACGAATGAATGACATTTTCAGACCTATGCTATTGCAATGAGCTATTTACAGACCTTTCTTTCAGATGGTACTGAGCCAGTGTTATCAGCCCTAGTACATCTGTGGCAGAACTTTGCATTAGTAATTGCTGTAGCAGTTACTAGAATTATTAAATGCTGACTTTTCAACAGGAAGGTGTTTTTTTTTTTGCTATAGGCTGGCGAGATTGTGAACTTAGCTGGCAATAGCAGTGTCTGGAAAGCATGCGACCAATTTACCGGTACTTACGCTGGGGCAGCAACAGCGTGCAACTGCAGCCACGTCTGCTGGCTTGGTTGGGGAAAGTGTGCACATGTAGCTGGCTCTCAACACGTATTCCTCTGTGTCGTTGCAACCAGTCAAGCCATGGCATAGGAGAAGGGAGTCTTTGCAGTAACCCTTCATAACAGCCACGCCAAAAGTACTTTCGTGTTCTCATCTCACAAGAATATGCTTAGGGATGCCTTGCAGTTTTTTATTCTAACATGAGACAGCTTCGTTTTCTCGTGCCCACAAAGTGGTGCAATGACAAAGTGGTGCAATGACTATTTCATATGGGCCTATTCAGTTCTTGATGAGCAACAAACTCTGGCTTATGAATTTTGTGACTATTTTCTGTAAAATGAAATCGCATATATAGTATTCTAAGGTTCAGAATTGCAGAGCTTGCCATGTACCAGCACTCATTTTTCAGCGTAGCACTGAGGCTTTTTTTATGAATTGACCATATTGGTGAACTTCAGTTACTATATTTTGGAAACATTGTGACTGTTTTATTTCTTAATGCAGCTCAAGTCTGCTGGAAAGACTTCTCAAATCCGGAACTTCCAAGACCCATGCATCTGTGATGCACGCCCTATCATTGATCTGGTGGACGCCATCAACCCTGGATGCATAAACTATGCTCAAGTGCTGAATGCCACTAACCAGGTTTGTGCTCTTAACTTGTTCTGCTAACATAAAGTGCTTAATATAATAGTGACCATTCAACACAACGTCATGCAACATTCAAAATTTGTATCATTGCAAAGCTCAAGGCACAAAGTGATTCACATACTCAGTGACTGAGCTTGAAGCTCAGAGAGCATTTCAAGCCATTGGCACATGTCTTCACATTTTGAACAAGTTATGTAGCAACTCACTTCATTTGACCCAAAATTGTTTTTTTAAGTATACTTCAAAATGCCTTTGTGTTCCTGATTCTCCCTTGCACACCTTTTCACATGCCAGTACTTGTTAGTAGTTGCATTTTAGGGCATATTGTCCTAGGTTACTGGGGAGGCTGTAACTTCAGTTACATAACAGATGGCAAATAAGAGTGAATTGTGTACCACACAGTAACATGTCTACTTTGAAGTCTCATAATTTTTTGACTGAGCTACTGAACCTTCAATTTTTTCAATCAAAGAACTCGGGAAATAAATTGTCATTCTATACCTGTAAGGGCAGTAAAGTATTTACTTGCCCTGGGCACGCAAATATCTAGAAGGGGGGTGCCGTTGGGCCCTCCTCTTCCAAAAATTTCTATGGAAGGGGCGTTCTACCACAGATGAAAAATATATCTGTGTCTCCAAAAAACATTCCTGGCTACCAGCTTGGCTGCACTGCTTCATCAAACACTTAAAATATGAGCTGTGTTTAAGAACAAATTTCGAGTTTGCTATAACATCTTTAATTATTCAAAATTTTTTTGTAACATGCACCAACAAGTTTTACAAAAACATCTTTACTGCTCATTCCATAAAATTGTAAACTTTGTCCCTTCTCAAAAAATCACTCTATAGGCAATACATCATTCTTTGAAAAGCCTCCCTGAGGCGCATTTTCTCCACATGCACACAGATCTTTTATCGCACTGTCCTGTATCTTCTCAATAGTTTAGAAATGACAGTCTTTCATTGTGATTCCAGATTTAGGAATCATTGAAATGTTTGCTAGTACTGGTTGTGGAGAACATATTGAATGGAAAATCAATGGGAGTGTAGTGCTAGGCTAGACAGCTTTAGACAAGAAGCAACACCCAAGCTTGTACATTGTCGTTATGTAATGTCTAAGTTAAGTTTTTCCCACAATTTCAGCCTGTTACTGTGTGCAGGATTCGACAATTACGATATTATTTCCCAACAGGCCTCTTCGATAATCGTCTGACTACATGGAACCAATTCGTCATGAATGAAAGATAACACATCCGTCACACTATTCTTTCAGGAACTCGCATGTGCTTTTTTTTTTTAACAGAAACCATTTTGCTACCTGCTGTGACTTCAACTCTGTTTCAATATCGCAAGCATAAGTGCATGTCTCATCACACGCTATGTCGTAGCAGATCCGATCATGTTTCATCAGGTATATTTCTGTCAGTCAGCAGACAAGAAATGGCTATTGCACTCGCCCAACGCATCTCAATTTCGTCACTCAACATCTGGTGGAATTATCCACCACTGAAGCTGACTGCGTCTGCAACATTCCAAACAGTTGAGTGACACTTTTCACCAACCACAGTACGAATGGCATCACTATAATAACCGCCCATTTCTGTGGAACATTGCTCATGCTTGAAACATTCACAGACTGACATTGTGCCATATTCAAAATGTTTTAAACCACTCGGAGCAGTCTGTGCCACTCATACAGTTCTTTTTGTGTACTTAGCTAAGCAAGCGAAATCTCTCTGCAGGTTTTGCCAAATCCACAGCAAAATTTCGCTCACGCATGCTTCTTCTTTAGCACTTTCATGGTCACTTTGGGACTATTCTAAGAAACAGCCTGTCCATGTGCTCATTCCAGTGGATGTAACTTGCCTACTAATGGTAGAAGTGAAATATGGTGGCAGCTTGTTGTCTGAAGCTACTGCTAAATGCACTCGAATAACCTCAGTGCACTTTTTACAGATCGGTGTGCTATTTCAACAGTTCAGTTCCTTTTTGTACACACTTCCTCTGTTTGTTTGCCTATATATACTGTTGAAAAGTGGCACTTGAGAAAAGTGTGAATAGTTTTGCAGTGCCTCATACCTACATCATAGGTTGAGTTCAATGCAGGATTACACTAATGTAAGTGCAGCAGTCAAAGTAAAAAGGTTGTTACATTGCTGTGGGTGTTATAGCAACGTGCAGGTTCTTAGTTAATGGGTGTCCGAGCCGTCGCCCCAGACTCCCACGAAAAGACGAGGCCGTTTGTACGCCACACTTTATACACACGAAAAACGAACACACATAACATGGACAGGCTATTTAAAGAATCCTTCACTGTCTCTGTGAACTATCAAAGTCCTAAACTAACCGTCCCTCCTTTTTAACATGGACACAAGACATGAGGTCGGTCTCACCGAGGTTCGTTGCTACGTCTTGAGCTGGCTCGCGTTGTCCGCACGGTCAACCAGGCGACTAGTTGATGGGTAGGCTCCGCCCCCGCAGCCACGTCGCGGCTGGACACATCTGCTGGAGCTCGTGCCCGTAGCCCGACAGCTCCGCGTTGCTCGCACGGTAGACGAGGCGGCAACTTGAAGGGTATACGCACCACCACCGACCACGTACAGGCCGGACACCTCCGCTGGAACTCGTGCCCGTAGCCCGACAGCTCCGCGTGTCCTCAAGCACAGGATGCCTTGAAGCCGCAGCACGTCAGCGACGCACGGCCGTGGCAGGTAGAACGTGGCAGGTAGGCCGGGCTCGACTGTTACTAGGCTCGGGTCCGGAACCCAACGGCCGAGTCGGGAGCCCCGTCTTCCTCGTTCCTTCTCGTACCTTCGCCGCCACGCTACTCAGCGCTCGTGCTACCTTCGTCGTTCTCTGCTTCAAGCGCGCACTTTGTATGGCGCGCACTTTGAATGGCGCGCACTTTGAAGCTTCGCGCACGACACATATCACAAAAGCCCCCCCTTAAATGAGTTTTTTTTTTTTTTTTAAAAAAAAAAAAAAACTGCTGACACGTGCGCGGTCTGTAAACCCCTTCACTGTATATGTCCTCTGTATAGTTCACATGTCGAGGTCCAATATTTACTAAATACACAAGAACACCGTTAAATACACTGACATACTTTGAGTGTCCAACACCCAATATCACAGTGCATGAAGTCCGAACTCTTGGCTCACAATCTACTCATGAAGTCCGCACCGGTATTCTCCGACCCTTTTATATGCTGAATGCTAAATGAGTATTCTTGCAATGCCAGGCTCCACCTCAGGACCCTACTGTTCAAGTGTTTGGCTCGGGCTAAGTACTGTAGAGGTTGGTGATCTGTTTGTACAACAAACTGGTTCCCATACAAAAAATGTGAAACCTCTGTACCGCCCATACCAATGCCAAACACTCCCTCTCTATGGTAGAGTAATTCTTTTCCCGGGGCAGCAACTGGCGGCTTGCATAAGATACAGGGTGTAACAATCCGTCATGTTCCTGCATTAATATCGCTCCGATGCAGGTGTCAGATGCGTCCGACCGAAGTACAAACCTTCGCTCCGGATCAGGAGCCTTTACAATTGGTCCAGAAGCAAGGGCTTGCTTAAGTGTTTCGAATGCCGCCTCTCTTTCAGGATTCCAACAAATCTTATTTCTCTCCTTTTTCCTAGTTAGTTCGGTGAGAGGCTGAGCTTTCTCCGCATAATGGGGAATCATATCGCGGTAATATCCCGCCAATCCAAGAAACGATCGAAGCTGCTTCTTTGTTTGAGGTTTTTGTGCATTGGCAATCTTCTCGACAGTACTATCCACTGCTCGGATGGTCCCTCCTCCTAAACGATGGCCTAAAAATACGACGGAAGTCATAGCGATTTCGCATTTCTGGGGTTTGATAGTCAATCCTGCTTCTCTCACTCTGTGCAGGAATTGCTGCAATGTGTCTAAATGCTCTTTCCATGTCATAGTAGCGATGAGAACATCGTCGATATAATGCGCTACGTTCGGGAGGCCTTGGAGAAGTGTTCTCATCAAACGCGTGAACACTGCAGACGCAGTTTTGATTCCAAATGGCATGTAGATAAAGTGGTAATGTCCGGTCTGAGTTGAAAATGCGGTTACCGATCTCGACTCCAGTTCCAGTGGAACTTGCCAGTATCCTTTGGTAAGATCGAATTTCGAGAAAAACCTCTTGGTCCCAACCTCTGCGAACATCATATCCGTCCGTGGTATGGGTTCCGCATCTGATATCAACACCTCGTTGATGCGACGAAAGTCTATGCATGTCCGATAAGTTTGATCTGGCTTCTTAATTAGCACCAAGGGGAATTGTATGGCGAATTGGATCGCTCAATCACCCCGAGCTTGAGCATATCTCGAACTTCCTTTTCAACCACTTCTTTCATCGCCAGTGGTAGTGGGTACTGCGGAGTGCAAATCGGATCCGGTGTTGTCAGTCGAAGCGGGCATTCCAGCAAATTGGTCTTTCCTGGCATTTCGGAAAACACATCTTGGTATTTGGTCAGAATCCGCTGGAGCTCAGCAGCTTCCTCTTCAGCCAGCCCTTCACCTATATTAATTGTCTCCACCCCAGTCCCTTGGTCAATAGTGTAAACTGGTATAGGTGAATCTGCCTCCTCTTCTTCCATCACTACGAATGACGCTGTTTGTGTAAACCTCTCCGGTTCGCGATCCTCGTAACGCTTTAACATGTTGATGTGGAACAACTTGGTGTCACGTCCCAAGTCCAACCAGTAGTCATGACTGCCCTTTTTCCCTGTGACCTTAAAAGGTCCTTTCCATTGCATGAGTAATTTATTTTCCGTAGTAGGGAGTAGAATAAGGGCCCGGTCGCCTACTTCAAGCTGACGTTTCGTGCTTCGCTGATCATAGTATTGCTTCTGTGATTTTCTTGCTCGTGTCAAGTTCTCATGAGCCAACTGCAGTGTTTTTTCAAGACGATCTCGCAGATCCAATACATATCCGTAAGTTGTCTTCGCCTCGTCGCCGATGTGTTCTCCAATCCATAATTC